ATGCACGACTCGCATTTCCGCACGTAACAGACGCAGACGGTAGAGACGTTTAACCCATAACGGACGGCCAGTGTATTTTTCACGCCGCCACCAGGGTAGGGTTTATGTAGGCTTATGCGAACAGCAGGGTTAAGACGGGGCTAAAGTAGGTGTCCCTCATCATCCAAAAGAAGAGATTTCCGTTGACGACAAGTTCGTAACCCGCCTTTCCGCTCTAAAACTAGGGTGCAAAGAATGAATGGAAGCTGTAGGTGACATTATCGAAAAATGCGAAACAACAACCCCGAGCAAGGATGTGGCTATATTTAGGGGAAGGGGTCTCGGGACGTGCGAACCATGGGTAAGCCACCCATCAAATAGTAAACTTATGTAAATTAAGACAAAATGTATGTAAAATTTATTGTAGGTTTGTCAAAAATCCAGCGTCCAGGTCCTGGGAAGATATGTTATTCCACATTGCTGAGAGTATATACGGGTATATTAAGATTGCTAGAAACATTCCAAAAACAAAAGAAATAATCGTGCGCCACCATGTGGCGCACGCCGTCCGTTATGGGTTAAAAAAAGTCAGAGTACAAATACTGGGATCCATGCAACAACATGCAGAAGAATCCAGGCAAGAGCATGCATAAATTGCTATAACCGTTCTCACGCAAGAAAAAAGTGTTGAGAACCTGTATGGTAGTAGCCGCTCGTGCAAGCTCAGCCCATCTCTGCTGACGCACGATTCGCATTTGCGTACGCAACCGATGCTGACGGTAGGCGCGCTTCAAAGAATCAGTTTGAATTATGAGGAGCTCCAGGCAACAACATAAAGAAACCCTGCTGTGAACATCCCTGAGGCAACAAGCAAAGAAGTATCAGTAACCTGAATAGTAGTAGCCGCTCGTGTGAGCTCAGCCCATCTCTGCTGACGCTCGACTCGCAGTTTCGTACGCAACCGATGCTGACGGTAGGCGCGCTTAAAAAGAATTCAGAAATCTCGTGACGTTCCAGACAACAGCATGCAGGTGAACTCTTATGACTATTCCAACACAGCAAAGGAACCTTGAATAGTAAGCACGCCGCTCGTGTGCTCTAGGCCACTCTGTGGACAGCCTCGACTCTGCAGTTCGCTTCGCAATCGTGCTTGCGTCACCAGAGCTTCAATGAATTCATTTGAATATAAATGTAGGAACCCCGGCACAGATGTCCCACCAATATAGAGGATCTGGCATGGGTTGGCGCATGCCCCTTGAGCAAACAAGCAAAAACTAGCAGTAAGCCTGACATAGTATATCCGCTCGCGTGAGGCCTCAGCCCATCTCGGGCGTCTCGACTGCTCCGGAACTACGCGCATTGTCCGAAGCGCAATCCGGTGTCTTGCGGTAAGGCGCGCTTCAATCGAATCACATTTGAATATTATGAGAACTCCAGGCAAAAACATATAGAGGACTGCTGTGCGCATCCCTGAGGCAACAAGCAAAGAACTAGCAGTGACCTGAATAGTAGTAGCCGCTTGTGTGAGCTCAGCCCATCTCTGCTGACGCTCGACTCGCATTTCCGTACGCAAAATGATGCTCGACGCGCTAGGCACCTCGCTTCAATGAACTCATTAAACTGTGAGCTCCAGGCGACAACTATAGAAGATGCTGTGTATGTCCAGTGGCACACAAGCAAAGCGAAGTAGCAGTAACCTCATAGTGCGCCGCTCGGCACTCAGCCCATCTCTTGTCTGACATTCGACTCTCAGTTCTGTACGTCAATGGCTGGACCGGTAGCCGCTGACTTCAATGAATCAATTTGAATTATGTGGAACTCCAGGCAACAACATATAGAGGACTGCTGTATGCATCCCTAGAGGCAACATGCAAAGAAGTAACAGTAACCTGAATAGTAGTAGCCGCTCGTGTGAGCTCAGCCCATCTCTGCTGACGCTCGACTCGCATTTCCGTACGCAACCGGTGCTTGACGGTAGGCGCGCTTCAATGAATCAATTTGAATTATGAGGAACTCCAGGCAAAAACATATAGAGGACTGCTGTGCGCATCCCTAGGCAACATGCAAAGAAGCAAGTAACAGTAACCTGAATGGTAGTAGCCGCTCGTGTGAGCTCAGCCCATCTCTGGAGCATGCTCGACGTCGAACTCGCATTACCGTACGCAAATCGTGTGCGTGCGGTAGCCCGCGCCTTCAAGTGGAATCAATTTGAATTGAAATGATGAACTCCAGCAAAGACCCTATGGCGAGGGACTGCTGTATGTATCCCTAAGGCGGCACATGCAAAGAAGTAACAGTAACCTGAATGTAGTAGCCGCTCGTGTGAGCTCAGCCCATCTCTGCTGACGCTCGACTCGCATTTCCGTACGCAACCGGTGCTTGCGGTAGGCGCGCTTCAATGAATCAATTTGAATTATGAGGAACTCCAGGCAAAAACATATAGAGGACTGCTGTGCGCATCCCTAAGGCAACATGCAAAGAAGTAACAGTAACCTGAATGGTAGTAGCCGCTCGTGTGAGCTCAGCCCATCTCTGCTGACGCTCGACTCGCATTTCCGTACGCAACCGGTGCTTGCGGTAGGCGCGCTTCAATGAATCAATTTGAATTATGAGGAACTCCAGGCAAAAACATATAGAGGACTGCTGTGCGCATCCCTGAGGCAACAAGCAAAGAAGTAACAGTAACCTGAATGGTAGTAGCCGCTCGTGTGAGCTCAGCCCATCTCTGCTGACGCTCGACTCGCATTTCCGTACGCAACCCACCGGTGCTGCGGTAGGCGCGCTTCAATGAATCAATTTGAATTATGAGGAACTCCAGGCAAAAACATATAGAGGACTGCTGTGCGCATCCCTGAGGCAACAAGCAAAGAAGTAACAGTAACCTGAATAGTAGTAGCCGCTCGTGTGAGCTCAGCCCATCTCTGCTGACGCTCGACTCGCATTTCCGTACGCAACCGGTGCTTGACGGTAGGCGCGCTTCAAAGAATCAGTTTGAATGTGGAGCTCCAGGCAACAACATATAGAGGACTGCTGTGTATATCCCTAAGGCAACAAGCAAAGAAGTAACAGTAACCTGAATAGTAGTAGCCGCTCGTGTGAGCTCAGCCCATCTCTGCTGACGCTCGACTCGCAGTTCTGTACGCAACCGATGCTGACGGTAGGCGCGCTTCAAAGAATCAGTTTGAATTATGGAGCTCCAGGCAACAGCATACAGGGTGGCTACTAATATTGGCGTATGGTTTATTGACCATATTTTTACAAAGAGAAGCTGTTACATCTTCGCAAGAATTTGACGTCGACATGGCACGAGAAAATCTTCACGCTGAAAGTGGCGCACAATTCTCAAAACGACAGGCAATTGTTGGATCAGGCTAGCAGACATTCTGTTCGAAGTTCTGTGCGCACAAGGAACCGATTTTCAAAATCTGTCATGGCCGTCAGGAATGACTTCTGGAGCTTGTCTTTGTGGATGAATCCGTTAACACTAACTCTCGGACTTACAAGAATTTTACGTGATGTGCTCCTTCCATGGACTGTTTCGACCTTCAGCGAACGTCACTGCATTCTTCAGCAAGACTGGGCGCCTGCCATGCCGCAAAATCTACGCTGGGTTCTGTGACCGTCATTTTCCAGGTTACTGGTCACAAGATGTTTGGCCATCTAACTCGCCCGATTTGAACCCAATTGATTTTGCGGTGTGGGGCTTCTTGCAGCAGAAGATGCCTTCTGAGCAACGTCGAAGTTTGGACTCCCTGAAGGCTTCCTTGGAGGAGGCGTGAAGGAGCTCTCGACGTCAGCTACTTGCGGCCCACGGTGATGTCAGTTGAGAAGAGACTTGAAGCCTGTATCGCTGCCGAAGGAGGCCATTTCGAGCACTTCTTCAGCAATTGTTATGTTTTACTGTATATAAAAATAAACTTCTGAAGATGTAATAGCTTCTCTTTTTAAAATATGGTCAATAAACCATGCGCCAATATTTAGTAGCCACCCTGTATATGTAGAAGACTGCCGTGAACATCCTCGAGGCAACAAGCAAAGAAGTATCAGTAACCTGAATAGTAGTAGCCGCTCGTGTGAGCTCAGCCCATCTCTGCTGACGCTCGACTCGCAGTTTCCGTACGCAACCGATGCTGACGGTAGGCGCGCTTAAAAAGAATTCAGAAATCTCGTGACGTTCCAGACAACAGCATGCAGGTGAACCCTTATGACTATTCCAACACAGCAAAGAAGTATTCGAAACCTGAATAGTAGCAGCCGCTCGTGTGAGC